GGATGTTGGGCTTCAGAGAGTTATTATAGTCAGAGAATTCAGGGAAGCAGTGGTTAAGCGTTTAAAGGAAGATACAATGACAATGTTTCATCCAACATAGAAAACCAGTAAAGATATAGAAATTATCAGTATCAGTTATCAAATGTAAGATCTGAAGTTGAAAAGTACCATAAACAAAATGAAAAATTCACTAGAGGGATGGAACAGTAGATTTGGTCTCACAAAGAAGGAAAGCTACAGACTTGAAGATAAATCGATAAAAATTATGCAATCTGAAGGACAGAGAGAAAAATGAACAGATAATTAAACAGCATCTCAGAGATTTGTAAGAGATTATTAAGTGCACTAACACACATAAAGGGAGTCTCACAAAGACAGGAACAAAAATTCTTAGAGGCAGAAAAAATTCTTAGAAAAAGTAGTGGTTGCCAACTCGTAAAATTTGTTGAAAAGAACATTAATTTACATATCCACGAAGTTCAGCATATTCCAAGTAGGATAAAAGTGAAGGCATGTTATAGACACTGTTGAAAGACAAAGAAATATATGGAGAGCAGCAAGAACACACACACACACACACACACACACACACACACACACACACACACAAAGTACTCTAACAACTAACTTTTCTTTGGAATGAGGGGGCCAGAGGGAGCAAGATAGCAGACTTCATATATTAAAAGAAGAAAAATACCTGTCAACCAAGACTCATATACCTAGGAAAACTTTCTTACAGAAATTGAGGTGAAATAAGCAGGAAAGCAAAAACTGGGGAAATGTTTGCTAGAAATACAGCTAAAGCTATGGAGCTGTGGGAGTCACTCCCTTCTACCCATTTAATTCTAAACAGCACCCTATGGTTATTCCTACTTTCATTGTCCTGAAAAAGCTAACAAAAGCTCAGGAGACTGCAGATGTTCTAGGTGAGAGCACATGTGTGTTGGCTCTCTTAACTTGACCTTTGCTCACCTTTACCCTACTCCCACCTCAATACAGGTTCAAAAATATGCACTGCATGTCATAAATATGATTAAGATCAGAGTGACTTCTGGGACAAGCATGCATGTTGGGAGCCCCTAAAATGACTCAGCATCTTGTTAATCATTCCTGTCAATCACATCCAGAGATTCAGTGGGAGGCACCTGAAGTGGAGGGGCTTGGTCTTTAAAGTGTGAAATTCTGCCGTATCTGCCTTTTTTGGATGCTGCTGCTATACTTGTGTGATTTGGCCTGTCTGCAGAGCTTTTCTGTCTCCCCAGCACAATCTTCTGTATGTGCCCTGTCTTTTGGTGGCATGGATTTGCTCTGAGCACAACTTCCCATGACCTTTAGTAAACATAGCTGCTTACTACTTACTACTGGGTGTATACTTTGAAATTCTTTCCTTCTAGGTACACAAGGACCTGGACCATTATTGGTCCATTTCACTATAACATTAACATTCTTGACTTATAAGAAATATCAGTGGAAGTTCTTCATGTTGAAACAAGTGACTTCAGGCGATAATTTGTATCCACAGGAAAAAACAAATAGCATCAGTAAAGATAATTATGGATGTAATTACAAAAAGAGTATAATTACAGATCCCTTCTTCTGAGTGACTTAAAAGCATTTGTATAAAACAATTAGTATATAATTGTATTTTTGTGTCTATAATATACTTGCCAGTAATAGCACAAAAAAGGTAGGTGGAAGGCAAGATGAATCAGTGTAAGGACTTAGCAAATGATTGAATCATTAGAACCAGGCTGGGGATATAGCTCAGTGGCACAAATGCCTGCCTGGCAAGAGCAAGGTCTTGAGTTTGATTTCTAGTACCAAAAAAAAAAAAAAAGTCATTAGAACCTTATTAAACAATATGGGAGCTAGATTGGCTTTGTCTTCTGCCAATTTTATGGGACATGTGGAGACATGTAAATGGGAGAGGCAAGGACTTTGGATTCAAACAATCTGGCTTGAGTCCTTTGGGACAAAGTCATCTCCACTTAACTGGGATGCATTCTGAGGAAAGTGTTTGTTAGGGTTTATATGGTAAATGTTCCCAAAAGGCTTCATTTACTCATAGGTGGGACTTTGGAAAGTGACTTAATCACAGGGGTGGTACAGCTGGCTTGCTGTTAGGAGTGGGGGCCCGGACGGCACAGGCTGGTCACTGGGCATGTAACGGGAAGTGTACATCTCTCTCCCGAGCTCCTCCATTCTCTTTCCACTTCCTGGCTGCCATGACTGGAGCAGCTTCCCCCTGCCAGGCCCTTCTGCCATCTCATTTCTGTGTTTAAGCCTGCCAGACATGGACCAGAACTTCTGAAACTGAGCCCAAATAAGCCTCTCCTCTTTGAAGTTGTAGGTGTGGGGTATCATGTCCCAGTGCTGAGAACATGACTAAGATAGTGTTGTTAGGTGATTTCATTATTATGTGGCCATCCTAGAGTGTTGGGTACTAAACTGGGTTCTTAAAAGCTTCTCTGTATCTGCTCTCACAACTCCTCACTGCTTTCAGTGGAGCTTATTTTCTTAGTTACTTTTCTCTCATTGCTGAGACAAAATACTAGATGCCCAAAATTAAGGAAGGAAAGCTTTATTTAGCTCACAGTTTGTGGAGGTTTCAGTCTATAATCCTCTGGCTCCAAGGCAGGGTGGCACATGGGAGAGGAGCAACAGTTCCTGATGGTGGAAGACAGCAAAAGCAACAAGAGCGAAGGAGGAGCAGGAGAGCAAGCCTCTTTCCCTCTCTTATACTGTATGCAGGCTACTCGCCTCAGGGCAGGTGTAGCACTCCACCTATAATCCCAGCATTCGATCATGAGTCAATCACAGACTCTAGAACTGCCCCCCTCCCATGACTGCATAAGGCTTTGGGGGGACATCTAGACACAAACCATAACACTTATTCTTCAACATCCTTTGTCACCCATCCCTGCCCATAGAACTGGAGCTATGGTGGACCAGACCATATCTGGCTGTAGTGGTATGGGGACAGAGCTGGTGGGTGCATGAGGAATGCTACTCTATGCACCCAGGCTGCATCAATTCTCCAGTTTTGTAGCCCTTGTCACTTTTAGTTTTGTTTCCAGGTCAACGACTTGATGTAGCCTCTCACTGGCAGCATTAACAGTGGATTTTGTAGGCTCAGGGGCCATGATGAACAAAACAGCAGGAGATTAAACCAAGCGCAAGAGAAAGCAGTACAATCAAGAGGAGCCATAAACATCAGATTTGTGAGGCTGCTGCCAGCACCACACACAGACTGTTTTACAGGAACTTGTGTTTAATTGAGTACAAGGAAAGCACTCTAAAATAATGATAAGAGCATGGTAAATATGTACCCCAGTGACACCGTCATTTATTGTCGCTATCAGATATTGTGCACTGTGCACAAATGCCTGAGAGACACTTTTACTGAGTGACAGGGTTTGTTTGCACCAACTCCATACAAACATTAATGTGCTGCACCACGGTGTCATAGCTGCTATCCGTCACTAGGTAACAGCACACTTACATCTCCATGATGGTCTTGTGGGGACCAGTGTCCTACCTGACGTCTAGTGTTGTTGGACACATCGTTATTCGGTGCATAACTCCTTTTGGCAATTGAGACTTGCATACGCTGCTAGCTTCTTGGAATGCCAGTTTCTTAATGTATCAGGCGCAGTTAGTGGAAGGATATCTGACCTAGCTTCTCTGTCCTCTCCATTCTTTGGAAGTACCCTTTTTTAAAAAAAGTAAAATTTCTATTAGTCCATGCATGCAGTATGTAATGGTCACATTCACCGTGGGGAGCTGGTACACGTGTGTAACACATCTTCGTTCTCTTTACTTTGCCACCCCACTCCTCCCATTTCTTGATCTCCTTTCTTTTCTTTTTATTTTTTTGGTGCCGGGAATTGAACTCAGGACCTTGCACTTGCCAGGCAGGTGCTTATGCCACTGAGCTATATCCCTGGCCCTCTTGGTCTCTTTCCCCTTTGCAAAAGATCTATTTTCCCATTTCCTATAATTACCTTATACTTTGCTCTTTATAGTTTGGGTTTCTCCTATAAGAGAATCATACAATGTTTCAACTCGTGTGTTTGCTGTACCTCAATTATTTGAAGCATCCCTGAATGTAGTGGTATGGGGACAGAGCTGGTGGGTGCATGAGGAATGCTACTCTATGCACCCAGGCTGCAGTCTGTCTGCTCAGACTCTTTCAAGCCAAGCTCAAGAGCACCCCCTACACAAGGAACCCCCCCACCCCAGTTGTCCTCCCAAGATCCCCCACGGCAGAAGCAATGACAACTGCCAAGGCCTCCATCACCGCGTCCTTGCTTGTGCTTACTGCAGTCTTCCTGTGGGTTCTTTTCATGAGCTAGCTCTCTTGTAGACTAAGTTTGCTGATAGGAAGTCTCCCAGGTCTTCCCTTTTTAACATCTCTCAGGATAAAATTGCTCTCAGGTGAGTTTCTGGGTGCATTTGACCAGCACCCACTTCCAGGTAAAACAGCAACTGTTCATCATTGCTACCCATAAAGTCATATTTTATTTTAAGAAATGTTAGCTAGCCTACTGCAGTTTTATCAGGAATGCTTGTCCTCTCATTGGCAGATTGGAGGTGGAAGGAGGAAGGCTGCCCGTGAAAATGCACACTTGCACCAGAAATGTATCAATAAAAATGTACCTAGAGTGACCTATTTCTTTCTTTGGCGACTATGAAAATTGGAGCAGCTCCCCCCACTTCCTTCCACGTTAATTTGGTTCTCAAATGTCTCTATTAGCATGTATTGTTTCATGAGTAGGAAAACAGCCTCTGCTGATAATGCGGAAAATCCTCAGCAAGCCAGCCTTGCTCGCATTTCAAAGCTAGCTGGTGCCGCGACAAGCGAGGGGCACCCTGACGGCCCTTTGCCTTTGGATCCTGAACAAACAAGAAAAAGTTTTTAGTTTTTCTCTAGGGAACATTTAGGACAACGAGACTTGTCTGGAATTTTCCCCTCGCCAGCTTTGTAAGGAAGGCCTCAGAGGCTTGAGGGAGCCTCCGGGCGCAGTCTGCCCCAGGGGCGCGCAGACGCCTATTGGCCAGCGATCCGGGACTTCGACCAACGCTTCCCCCACCCCCGTCGTCATGACGACGGGGCAAGCTAAAGACAGTCTGAGGAAGCTGGCTCTCCCGACTGCAGGTGACTATGGCGCAGAACCTGTATGGCCCGCGAGTCCGGATGGGAAACTGGAACGAGGACGCCTACCTGGAGGAGGTCGTGAGTGGGTGGGGTGCTGCAGGCGTCCCCAGACTCCTTAGGCCCCCGCCTCTTTCCCCACATCCGCCCTCCTCTGAGCCCTGCAAACTCAGGCCCAGAGCCCTGCCTAGTACCAGCTCTCCTGCTCGAAGCCTCTCCAGGCCTATCCTGCGCCCCCGCCACCCTTTGGGCCGCAGCCCCTTAGGGTCCCAAGGCTGTGAGCCAGGTGAGGCGGCCCTATGCTGCTGCCCACTCTGTCCCCGGCCCCAACGCGCACCTCCTGAGTGAGCGCAGGGCCTTCGCTGACCCCGCCAGGCTTGTGCTGCATGACACGGGGGCGAGGGGCAGAGTGGGCCTCAGTGCCAGTCATCGCACCCTTGGGGCCCTGGTGCTGCGCACACTCGGGGTCGGTACCCATCATCGCAAGCTCAGCACACTCGGGAACTCACAGGGGACAGGCGGCTGCCGCCCGCCACCACATGGCTGTTCCCAGCGGGAATAATTACAGGGGATGTTGCTTTTTCTTCCTTGTGCCTTTCCCAATTTTCTAAAGATTCTACAGTGATATGAGCATTAAAATAATGTTAAATAAAAGCTCCAACATTCCCTCTATGGACACATTTCCCTTCTGTTCTCAAATTTTGCTTTTTCAATTCAGGAAGCTTCTGACCCTACAGCTACCAGTACCTTCCCTACTGGGGCTGTTGATGTCTTTGGATTCCATTCTTCTTTCCTAAGCAGGAGCGAATGAAAGACTTCTTAGAGAAGAGAGAGCAGGGGAGACTGCTCATTCAGAGAAACAGAAGACTGAAAACGCATCTTTTGAGACCGGTGATTTTAAATTTTAATATTGTTTTCCAAAATTCTATTAAGTATGAACATATGTGAAGCAGAAAAGAAATTCTACCAAACGAGTTACCATTTAGAAAATGGCAACGTTTGTGGAAAAGCTTTTAAAATTTTTTTGAAGTACACGAGCCACAATGTTACAAATCCCTTTAGATTTAAGAACATAAAGACATTTGCTTTTAATGGTGTTTACTTGCGTTTTCCAAGTAAAGAAATTAATGGACTAACACATGAATACTCTTAGTGGGTGCTCAAGACATCTTCAGTCAATGCTTGGTAAATTAATGCTGGAGTCAACCTGTGTGATTTTCATCAGCTTCATTAGATGTTGTTTGAGATTGTTGGGAACTTTGCCTTGGTAAAGTGGAAGGGAAAGGAAGAAGGCTAAAGATTTGGGGGAAACCTGTGGGAGACACTCTGGCCATGGTGCTAGTCTGAGAAGAAGAGATGGTAATGGGAATGGGTTCGACTTTGGTGAAGGGATTATATGTTTTTTTTTTTTTTTTTAAATTCCTGTTAAATTTGCAGATGCAGCTTTCTGTATCCCAAGATGGATATATTCACTATGGCGACCAAGTGATGCTGGTGAATCCTGACCACCCAGAGCGGGAAGAGGCTGGTGTGTTTCTGCGCGGGGACCTGAGCCTGTGCATGACTCCAGATGAAATACAAGCCCACCTGAGTGATGAGCTGGAGTTGCCCTGTGGCTTGAGTGCAGCACACACCATGGTCCCGGTTGGCAGAAACACATTTGTTGTTCTGAGGTAGAGATGCTTTGACCTCTGGCCTCTTCTCATCATTGCCTCTGTGGGACTTGGTTAAGGATGCCCTGGGCTTGTGGGGTGGTGTGAGGCAAGGTTCTGTGGCCTCAGCTTGCTTGCTCACCTTGAGAATTGTTCTGAAGGGGACTTCACACTCCGCTTTACCTCAGACAGCAGGCAAGTTGCGTTCAATTCAAAATGTTCGCTTCATAATTATCCGATCATGGGGATTGAATTCTTATACTCCAGTGAGCAAAGTGGATCTTCCTAATGGTGTCCCAGGATCTTTGTGTTCTTTGTGAGCCATTGTTCTTAAGGTTGCCACACTATCTTTACAACAAAAAACTTTTCTATTAGGTGGCACTGGATGGGATTTGCTTTTTAAAAGTTGTCCACTAAATATGTACTTAGGAGATTTTGAAAATGGACAATTAGCAATTAAAAGTGATGGCTTTCACTTTAACTAATTTATGATGGCAATGTTTGACAAGAGCATAGCTGGTCCTCTAAGCCCTTGATTTAGATTTCTCTTGAGCACACATAGTTTATGTTAAAACAACTAAATGCTGAGCACATTTGCTGTTTCCTGGAGGATGAAGTGGGGAGAGTGTAGCAAAGTCTACAAATGTGTTGCCTTGGTTCTCTCTGAAGATGCCACTCTATGTGACCGGAAATTCTTAGTGTTTGTAAGCATGTGGGCTTAACCCATGTCAGCCCAAAACTCCTCAAGTTGGGTGCTCTGGGTATTGGACAGGACAAGAAAGAGCCTGCCAGATTTTTAGCCAGATTTTAAGGCCAAGAGAACTTTTATTTAGTTCTTTCATTCAGGTATGGTATATGAATATACTTTCTCAAGACAATGGATTATAAACATAGACAAAAAATAGAGCTGTAGATTCTAACCTACAATGAAACCTAATAGGTTTCATTGGACCTATTATCTACCCGCAGTATAGGCAGAGATACCACCGGACAAGTCCTTAGGTACGGGCAGGACTTTTGCCTTGGGATAGCAGGAGGATTTGAAAACAAGATGGTAAGTCATCACTTTGTACATCTACCGTGGAATATGTATGAGGTTCCAATTTTGTATATAAAAGCTTCAAGCTCCTCCGCCCAAGACCAAATTAGGGTTCCCATCTTTAGTGTGTATATGTATATATATTAATATGAATGACTGAGTCACAGAATATGAAGCTGGGCGTGGTGGCACACACCTGTAATCCCAACACTTGGGAGGCTGAG